ACTGGGGTGAAGCCTCATTCAGAGGCAGGAGGCTCAAAGAGGCAGCCGTCCATCCCTGGATTTACTGTTGATTGCACAGCAGAACCAGCTCCCTACCTAGAGAGCTAAAGTCTTCTATTGGCCTCCCAGTCTGGGCAATTGATGCCCCGCTGAGAGAAAGTGCTGGGCCTCCTCCTCCTGCTCCTCCTCCCAGCCTAAAGATGTACTCATGCAATAAAGTCTAGCCCTCACCAACTGCTATCCAGATTCCTCTGGGACAGCGGATGATGCATGAATTTGCCTGCAAAGACTGGGAAGCATCATAATTCAAGCAGTGCGGAGGGCAAGCTGCCTGAGATTCTTGAGATAACGGAAATTGACCCATAACTCACCAGCCACTGTGGGAAACCCTATCACTTTGCACACTTCACCTCTATAGCTGGGAATCAAATCGGGGGCACCATCAGAATGCTAATTTGGACCCTCAGACAGGCAACGCCATCTTTAATGACTCTTGGCAAAAGATACTCATTAGAGATCTCAGCTCCTCTAAATTAAAACATGAAACCTAGAGATTAAAGCGTAGAAATTTCAATTTCTCAGCCCCATACAGCCGTGGAAAACTCACACCATGGGAATAGGGCTGCTCCCTGGGGCTTTGCTACATTTGTAAATATTTCAATGAGATCCGTGGAAAGAAAAGCTGGGGACAGGCGTGAACAGACCCAGCAGGTCCCAACTGTAGAAGTGGGCCATCAGAAAGAGCAGCGGTTCTTCATGGCCAACATAAACCGTCCTGTCAAGAAAGACCATCTCCCTGCCAATGGCCAGAGTCGTCTGTTCTACGCTACGAAGCTCAGGTTCCAATGACACAGCAGGCTGCTGGCATCGGAGTCCTGCTATTCCAAGTGGACTGGAAGACAGCACAATCAGCCAGCCTCGTGTTCGGTGTGTAAAGTGCTGTGCTAATAACAGTCTCATTGGTTCTAACTTCACTCGATATCTATTTCCAGAAGACTGAGAGAATCACTCGATAACCTCCAGAAGACTTCTAAACCTCTCCCCACCGCCACAGCCCAGCAGAACACATGCTCTGTCAGCTTCCCCTCTGCTCTTGACTAAATTCTGCTTACACTCAGGACGAGGGAGCCGTTCCTGGTCTACAGCAACACCCCATATGCAGCCCAGAGACATGGGTGTAAAGTTGGATACTAGGCATCACAATTTCACAATTTGCCTTCCCTCAAAAGACCACAACCCAGAAATGTAACATGAAGCCCACAGAACAAAGCTGGGTGTGGTCATGGATTCTGCAACCCTAGTGCAGGAGAGCCAGAGGCAGGCAGATCCTCAGAGCTTGCTGACTTCCAGGTTCAGTGGGAGACTGTCTCAGAAGACAGAGGGCAGTTGAGAAGGAACCCAACATTTACCTCTGGCCTCCACATTCATGAACACACATGTACATGTGCACTCACATGCACTACACAGACACATACATGTACACACATATACTGCGCAAGCACACACATACACCAGACATCCATGCACTCCCACACACAACACTGAAACACCTGCCTGTGAAGAAGGAACAGTCGCAAATGACACAAAGGTAATCAGCACCTTTATTCTCCTGAAAAATACCTCACCTGAGCTTTCCCCTGGGCACCACGGCTCAGAGGCTCACGTGGATTCTGAAATTCAGCTGTTTAACCTGAAAACGACACCTCGTGCAAAGACACAAGGACTTCTTTTAAGTATCCAGCAAGCTGGAAAGAAACTTAAAAATACAGCGGGGCTGGTGTGGTGGTGCACGCTGGTAACCCTAACATTTGCGGGGGCTGATGTGAGATTTCCCCTCTGTATGCTGTGAATACCACTGGAAAATAAAGAAACTGCTTTGAGCCCATATCAGAACAGAGATAGGTGGTGAAAACTAAACTGAATGCTGGAAGAAAGAAGGCGGAGTCAGGGAGAAGCCATGTAGCCCCACCAGAGACAGACTTCTGAACTTTACTTGGTAAGCCACAGCCTCATGGTGATACACAGATTAATGGAGATGGGTTAATTTAAGATATAAGTTAGCCAGAAATACACTTAAGCTATTGGCCAAACAGTATTGCAAATAATATGGTTTCTGTGTGATTATTTCGGGGTTGAGCAGCTGGAAACAAACAAGCGGCCTCCTACTACAAGAGGCCGATTTCATGATTTCAAAACCAGCCGAGACTTACACGACCACGCCTTGTCTCAAGAGCAAAACAAAGACAGCGCTGCCGGTAAGAGCCCGTCCTGCTCTTGCAGAGGATTCAGGTTCAGTTCCCAGAACCCACACCTGGCAGTTCACAAACACCAGTGATCTGATGCCCATGGGCCTCCTTGGTCACCACACAAACTCACAAAGGCTCACATAGACACACAGACACTTGCTTTGATCAATAAATCTAAAAAGGCAAGGAACCTTCTAGTCTTACGTGCTGCAGAAGCTCGAACAGGAGCCTACATCAGTCCTAGAGGAGAATCTATTCATATTTTCATCAAGTGCTCTTGTAAATAACTTTGGATCGCCGTTGATCCAAGGGCTCACACTTTGGAGCCCCACAGAGTAACCATTTGTTACATGACAGTGGCGGATATGTTTTAGCCATCTCTGTAGTTTATGTAAGTTGAGGATTTTTCTTGGGCAAAAATAAGTTAAATAAGGGGGCTGGAGAGATGGCTCATTAGTTAATAGTGTATACTGCCCTTCAGTCTTCAAGAGGACACAAATTCAGCTCCTAGTGCTCACATTGGATAGGTCAAAGTAACTGTAACCCCAGCCCCACTGCATCCAATGCAAGAATTTCTGGGTTCCAAGGGGGCCAATATGCATAGCTATGTACAAATACACAGATATATACACTCACATATTCATAGCTATAGACAGATACACAGATATATACACTCACGTATTCATAGCTATAGACAGATACACAGATATATACACTCACGTATTCATAGCTATAGACAGATACACAGATATATACACTCACGTATTCATAGCTATAGACAGATACACAGATATATACACTCACGTATTCATAGCTATAGACAGATACACAGATATATACACTCACGTATTCATAGCTATAGACAGATATGGACACAGAAACATACACACACTTAAAAATTAAAAAAATTAAATTTGATTAAATAAAACAAAAACAGACAGTTATCTGTTTTGCTGTATGGAACACAGCCACCTTGTAGCATCAGTGAGTTAGTAACTATGAACAAGGAAACCATCCTGGTCACCATGGTGACCACTCCAGCTGACCCTGCAGAAGTCCCCAGAAAAAAACATCCTTCCCAAGCACATTAGAGCAGATGGTCACAACAGAGAGGCAGAGAAGCCATGCAGGGCTCCCACCAGATGCTTGTGACATGTTCCCAAATCATACCCGGTCCCCACCATGGACTGAAGAAGCGACCTTTCTGAGCAGGTCACAGGATGACAGCTTCCAGTGAGGTTCATCTCAGCAAAAACTATCCAGCCATGAACAGAGCCCTTCTGCCTTCCCCAGTACTGGTTTTAAAAAGACCAGCCTGGAGCTTGATGAAAGGACAAAGGAGATGCAAGGGAGCTGCTGAGCTGCCCTTCTATGGCTACAGGAAACCTCCAACCCCATAAAGCAAGCCAGAACACAGCTAACACGTGCATACAGAAGCCCAGGTCACACCACATGCGCCCACACAGCTATGGAGAAGCAACACTGCAAGCTGCCTGTGTCCTCCAAGGAGCAGCAGGGGTTTGGCAACACTCACTGAGTTCTCCCGCTACCTCCGTCTTGGGTCTACAGAGATGAATGAGGCAGACAGCAACTCTGAACACAGCGAGAACTGGAAAGAAGCAAGCGAGGGAACCAAAGACCAAATTTCAAGTAGGCACTGATTCCCCCTGCTGAGCTGGTGCCTACCCCGAGCTTCTTCCACTGGGTCTGCAATTGCAACAGCAATCCCGACCCTTGCTACATGCTAGATATGGTCAGAAAAACACGTGTGCAAACAAGTCCTTCTGGAAAGCAGCCGTGAAAAATAAGGGACTTGGGGATCTTTAGGAACAAAAGTCCCTAGCCAATCATAAGTTTGGGGGGACAAAAATCAGTAACAGCCAAAGAACTCAGAGAAAACATCAGTCTATCGCATGGACCCTGCACGGAACAACACAAAGTTGAGGGTTAGCATCTGGAAGCATCTTCTGTGGCTTGTCTCCTCCTCAAAATAACTTCTGGAGACAGATGTGCATATCACACTAATATTGTTACTGAAGAGATGAGATGACCAGACCAGGTTTTTCAAAACCTGCACATGGGTAAACAGCAGTGAGCGCTGGCCTAGGCTGTTACACTCCACCCGTTTATAGTCAACAGTGTGTCTTACACACTCACTTTTCAAGGAAAGCAGAGTGATGAAGACCCCATAGCATGTCTGTGGCGATGTTTATTGTCAGTTTGACCAGATCCAGAGTCACCTGGGAGACAAGCCTCCAGGTATATCATCTTGGATAGGTTAGCTGGGGAGGGACGACCCACCCTAAAAGCAGGTGGTACCATTCCCCAGGTTTGGGTCCTGGATTGCATATAAAGGAGAAAACGAGCTAAGCACCAGCATCCACTGCTCTCTGCTTCCTGGCTGCAGCAGCAATGTGACCAGCTGCCTCCCAAGCTCCCATGTCTAGGGCTCCTATGTTGGTCTTTACACTCAAATAGCGATCCAAAATGAAGCCTTTTCCCTTAAATTGCTTTGACAGGTGTATTTTATCACAGCCATGAGACATCACAGTCCTGTGTGAGTCCTGCCTCACTTACCTCCGTAGCTTTGTGGTCACTCTGTGAGGGTCAGAAAGCCCAGGCTGCCATCATCTTAGCAGGATAAAGACTGTGTGGTACCTAATGTGGCCTGGGAAAGGGGAAACAGGAGCCAAACTCTCTGAAGCCAGCCAGGCCCACCAGACACACCCCAAAGACTTAAACCACGAGACTGACCTCCACATCCCGGTAAAGCTGAACATGGTGCTGACGCAGCGGGGAAGGGGTGGCGGTGTGAGCCCATCCAGGCGCATGAGCAGAGCTGGAACACCGAAGAGCACCAAGTATTTCACATAGAAGAAGAGTACTTGGGCCAAGGCCAGTCCTCCTGAAAAACAAAGGGCCTCATCAGCCATACCAGCGAAAGACAGCAGCCTCCTGAGTCTGTCTTGCTTCTTCTCCAGTCCCTTCTTGCCCTCCACAGTCTTGGGTATTTGCACCTAGTCCCTAGTTGGTCCCGTGTGGGCAACGTTAAGGGCTGCAGCCTCATTAGAGGAAGAATATCACTGGGAGTAGGTTTGAGTAAAAAAAGCTATGTACTTCTAGTTCACTCTGTTTGTGATTCAAGATATGAGCCACTTATCTTCCTGCTCCGCAGTCTGCCACCTGCCCCATACTGTTCCCACCATCACTGACTCTAACCCTCTGGAACCATGAGCCCAAACAATAAACTCTTTCTTCTATAAGATGCCTTGCTGTGGTGTTTGATCATGGCAACGGAAAAGTAACCAACAAAAATGAGATCACCTTTATTACTGTCACAGGCAAGGGGACCTTTCTGCAAGCTACGTCTTTTTTTAAAAGTTTATGTGCGAGTGTTTGTGTGAGCATGTGTGTATGTGCCACAGTGCACACATGAAAGGCAGAGAACAACTTGTAGGAGCCGGTCCTCTCTCCACTGGGGGCTGGTCCTCTCTCCACTGGGAGCCAGTCCTCTCTCCACTGGGAGCCGGTCCTCTCTCCACTGGGAGCCGGTCCCCTCTCCACTGGGAGCTGGTCCCCTCTCCACTGGGAGCTGGTCCTCTCTCCACTGGGAGCTGGTCCTCTCTTCTGCTGGGGACCGGTCCTCTCTCCACTGGGAGCTCCAGAAATTGAACTCAAGGCATCGGGCTTGTGTGGCAGGGGTCTTTTCTAACAAAGCCACCTCACCAGCACACAAAGCATGCTTTCACAGGTAACAGAGGAAAAAGCATGCAAAAATATCCATCTCACTTAAAAACTAGGATGATGGGGCAATCCTTCACAAGTCCTTTCAAAACCTGTACCCATCAGAATCCAAAAGCCATATCAGAGAGTGTCGGTGACGAAATCATACACAGCACATAAGAATGTCCCACAACACAGGTACCGTGGAAAACAAACAGAAAAAAATAACTAAAATGGAAAACAATTAAACATAGAGTTTCCCATGTCCCAGAAATTCCAGGATTTGGTCAAGAGAAATGCAAGGGTCTCTACATAGAGACATCCAGGCAGTCTTACAGAACTTCTCTTAACAGACAAAAGATGGGAACAATCCAAATGTCCATTGACAAGCAGACAAGTTACAATGGATCCAGACAATGGGATAGTACTCTATCTTACAAAAAAGGAACTGAAGTCCCCAGAACAAAAGCCATGTCTTTGTTAAAGTCTACAAGACTGAACCACCGACTACATCATCGTGGAGACTTGGATTGCTGCTGATACGGAGCCAAATTGCCTTGCTACACCTTAGTCCCTTAAATACTTATTTCTTGTTCACCTCTTTGTCTGACCAGTTTTTTCAAATATCAAGTGAAACCTGGGGATGTAATGATTTAGTAGAGCACTGGCTCCCATCACCCCAAAAGCTAGCAATGGCATCTGCGGCTACAACAGAGATTTCTCTGTTTGGTATAACTTGCCTTCCTGATGTCCCCAACAACACGTCCAGAAAATCCCATGATTTGTGGCTTTCTTGTATTCTCTGACTTGGGGGAGGGGGGGGCTTGCTTCCCATGTGGTGCAGGGCTGCTGCAAGAGCCACATACTCCATGATGTGACTACGAGGTCAGCAGTGACAGCTCTGTCTGTGTCTCTGTGAGGCTGGAGCTTGTACTTTAGACATCTGAAGGCCGCCTGGTCAGCTGCCCAAGCCATTCCGCAGTGTCACTCTTACAACAGGAGAAAAGTCCTGAATGCCGCATGAACACGCTGTCGCCGTCCCTTTGGAAGCAAGTGAATGATCTACAGTGGTGTCCCAGGAAGTTCAAGGGAAGTGGGAACAGAGCCCTAGTTCTTTTCTGTGTGTTTCCATAGAGGATCCATGAGAATCTCCTGAGTCTTATGTCACATGTAAGTTCCACGCAGTTGTTCTTCCAATTAAGAAATACCAGGAGGTCGCCACAGAGCCTCATGTTCATTCACTCATTTCTTATTTTGTGTGTGTGCATGTGTGTATGTGTGTGCATGTGTGTGCGTGTGTGTGCGTGCATGTAAATCTTGAGTGTCTTTTCTCATGCACCATCCTTGGGGGTTTTGTTTTATATTTATTTATCCATTTGTATGTGTGTGTGCACATGTGTGCGTGTGTGTGTGTGCACGCGTGTCCATCTCAAGTCAATCTTGAGTGTCTTTTCTCATGCACCATCCTTGTTGGTTTTATTTTGTTTTATATTTATTTATTCATTTGTATGTGTGTGTGCTTAAGTGCGCACAGGGAGGTCAGAGGGCAGCTTGCAGGAGTCAGTTCTTGTTGTAGAATATTATTTTAAGGTGTGTGACTTGCTTATGCTGCATTTGTTTAATCCTGTGAATCTGTGATTCTTTGCCTGTCTAAAATGCCTGATGGTCCCAACAAAGAGCTGATTGGTCAATAGTGAGCCAGACAGGAGACCACTTCCTAAATATAACCCCAGTAGCACAGACACGGAGAGAAACAATTAATGGGACCTCCTGAAACTAAAAAGCTTCTGTAAAACAAAGGACACAGTCAATAAGACAAAACAACAGCCTACAATATGGGAAAATATCTTCACCAACCCCACATCAGACAGAGGTCTGATCTCCAAAAAATACAAAGAACTCAAGAAATTGGTCATCAAAAGAACACATAATCCAATTAAAAAAAAAAACTGGAGTACAGACCTAAACAGAGAACTCTCAACAGAGGAATCTAAAATGGCTGAAAGGCACTTTAAGGAAATGCCCAACATCCTTAGCCATCAGAAAAATGCAAATCAAAACAACTCTGAGATTCCATCTTACACCTGTAAGAATGGCCAAGATCAAAAACACTGATGACAATTTATGCTGGAAAAGATGCAGGGAAAAGGGAACACTTCTGCATTGCTGGTGGGAATGCAAGCTGGTACAGCCCCTTTGGATGACAGTGTAGTGATTTCTCAGAAAATTAGGAAACAACCTTCCTCAAGACCCTGTAATACCACTTTTGAGTATATATCCAAAGGATGCTCAATTGTGCCACAAGGACATGTGCTCAACTATGTTCATAGCAGCATTGTTTGTCATAGCCAGAACCTGGAAACAACTTAAATGCCCCTCAACCGAAGAATGGATAAGGAAAATGTGGTACATTTACACAATGGAGTACTACACAGCAGAAAAAAATAATGACACCTTGAATTTGCAGGCAAATGGATGGAGCTAGAAAACATCATTTTGAGTGAGGTAACCCAGACACAGAAAGACAATTATCACATGTACTCACTCATAAGTGGTTTTTAAACATAAAGCAAAGAAAATCAGCCCACAAATCACAATCCCAGAGAGACAAATGAGGACACTAAGAGAGACATACATAGATCTAATCTTCATGGGAAGTAGAAAAAGACAAGATCTCCTGAGTAAACTGGGAGCATGGGGACTTTGGGGGAAGGTTGAAGTGGGGAGAGGAGAGGCAGGGAGGGGAGCAGAGAAAAATGTAGAGCTCAATAAAAATCAATAAAAAAAATAGTGAGCCAGGAGCAAGGATAGGTGGGGCTGGCAGGCAGAGAGGATAAATAGGAGAAATGAGGAAGAGGAGGAGCAACGAGACAACAAAGAGAAGAGGACTCGGGGAACCAACCACCCAGCCAGCCTCGGAGAAAGAGTGAATGTAGGATATACAGAAGTAAGGAAAGGAAAAAGCCCAAAGGCAAAAGGTAGTTGGGATAAATTAAGAAAAGCTGGCAAGAAACAAGCCAAGCTAAGGCCGGGCATTCCTAACTAAGAAGAAGCCTCTCTGGGAGCTGGGTAGTGGGCCCCCCAAAAAGCCAAAAGAGTAAAGACTTCACACAACAAATTCTCTCCTTCCACCCTGTAAATGCCAGGAACTGAACTCAGGTCATCAGATTTGATGGCAAGTGGTTTTACCCATGAGCCACTTGGCTAGCCCCACCTTGCTTCTTGAGACAGGCTCTCTCAGTGGGACCTGCGGCTTGCTAAGCAGACTGGGCTGGCTGGTGGATAAGCACCAGGGATCTACTCGACTCTCCCTCTCCTGGGCTGGGTTTACAGAGCCTCTTTTCATGTGGGTGCTGGGGATCACACTCAAATCCCCATGTTTACCACCTCTCCAGCCACTCCTGTCAGGGAATCCGTCCACTTAGAGTGTAATTCAGGTTTTAGCGTATTTTCAAATGTGTGCAGCCACCATCACTTGCCAATGTCAGAATGTTTATCACTTCAAACTCAAATCTTATCCATCATCACAGGCAAGAGGACTCTTTGCCCCTCAGTTTCTGCTTCATGTTTCCTCTGAGTCAAATATGAATGGGTGCTGCCTGGCAACACAGGTTCAGGCCGTCCCAGATGACATGTTCTACCACAAAAATAGTTACATGAACTTCCGTAGTCACGGAATACAAGAATGTCATGAGTCAAGGTGGCTCAAACACAGCAGCAGGGATGTCTTTCTCCCATGGCAGGCACTTGCAAGCCCAGCACTCTGGAAGTAGAGGCAGACAGATCCCTGGAGCTCAGTGACCAGCCAGCAGAGCCAAATCTGGGAGTTTCAGGTTCAGTGACAGACCTTTGACCTCCAAGGCCAGCTAGGTTCCAGGGGACTAGGGAGCACTTGTTAAAACGCCTTAGGTCTGACGAGTCACGTGTTCTCTTTACTGGGGAGCCTTGGGTTCCCCACTGAGTGGACTCTAACCAGCATACACTCTGCAAAGAGGGTGTCAACACAGAGAGAAATGTCCTCGGTGCTTCCGGGCAGGTTGGACTCATTGCCACCAAATAAAACAATCAAAAAGAGTTACAGGGCCGGGCGGTGGTGGCGTACGCCTTTAATCCCAGCACTCGGGAGGCAGAGGCAGGCGGATCTCTGTGAGTTCGAGACCAGCCTGGTCTACAAGAGCTAGT